CCCATCTTCCTTCTGAGGAGTGGCTGGTGGGTTTGAACTGCCAGCCTTCTGGTTAGCAGTCAAGTGCCTTAGCCACTATGCTACCAGAGCTCCCGAGTCATAGTTGGTGCACTATAAAGTACCTTTAGTGAAGTATACAGATTAAATGCCACAGTCTGAACTCATAGCTGGAATTGATGAGAGAAAGACATGGTGATCTGCTCCTGTAAATATTATAGCCTAGAAAAAAAATCTCTGGGCTAGTTTTACTCTGTCACATGACATACTATGAGTCTAAAATCAACTCAGCTGCACACAGTACCATCATGAATTGATGAAAACTAAGATACTTGACTGTCTTGTTCTTCCAAGTCACTTGTTTCTAGAATTGTGCTTGGGGATGGACATGTTTGCACTCATTTCTCAGATGAGCTGATGGGCAGGAATGTGAAGGATGGGAGACCCACAGCCTTGCTGGGGTTCTTTGCTCTTTGGGACTACTACTTTGTGTTCCTGTTTTTCAGGTGATACACATGGTCCTATGTTGTAGGCTTAAGGGAAAAGAAAAACTTTAAGGGCACAGTTCACAGTTTTTGTGTGGAGACATTATTTCTCTCGGCTGTACAGTATACCTAGGAGCCAGATTGCTGAGCCACATTGTAATTCTGTGTTTAAAATTTTGAGGAACTGTCAGATTATTTTCCAAAGTGACTTGTAGCATTTTACCTTCTCACTAGGAATGAGGGGTCCCCATCGTAACCAACACTTGGTGTTCTGTCTTTTTATTATAGCCATTCTAGTGAATGTGAAGTAGTATCTCATTGTGTTTTTAATTTACATTTTCCTAGTGACTAATGAGGGAGCTCTGGTGGTGTAGTGGGTAAGATATTTGGCTGCTAACCAGAAGGTCAGCAGTTCAAACCCACCAGCTGCTCTGTGGAAGGAAGAAGAGGCAATCTACTTCATAAAGATTCACAGCCTTGGAAACCCAGTAGGGGTTGCTGTGAGTCCAAATTGACTCGATGGCAGTGGGTTTGCTTTTGGTTTTGGTTTGTAGTGACTAATCATTTCAGGCACTGATAAGGCATTTGTAATCTCTGGTGAGAGATCTATTCAAATCTATTGCCTATTTTTGATCAGGTTGCTTGCCATTTTATTACTTAGTTTTAAGAGTTACTTATATAACTCTAGAAGCAAGTCCTTTATCAAATATTTGATCATTTATTTATTTTAAGGATTATGCTTTTGGTGTAATATCTTAGACATCATTGCCTAACCCAAAATCAGGAAGATTTAGTCCTACTTTTTCTACTCATAGCTTTGTAGTTTTACATCTTACATGTAGGCCTGTGATCCATTTTAAAGTAATGTTTGTGTATAATGTGAAATATAGGGGTCCACCTTCATTCATTTGCATAGAAATCTAATTGTCTCAACATCACTTGTTGAAAAGACTATCCTTTCCCCATTGAATGGTCTTGGCAACCTTGTCACAATCAATTGACCATAAATGTAAGGGTTTATTTCTGGAGTCTCAATTCTGTTCCATTGATCTATGTGCCTGTCCTTACATCAGTATCCCACAGCCCCTATTAATGTGCTTTATACTAAGTTTTGAAATCAGAAAGTGTAAAGAACTCTTTTCTTTTTCAAAATTGTTTTGGCAATTCTGGATCCTTTGCTTTTCTATGTAAAATTTAAGATAGTTTGTCATTGTTCTTAAAAAGCCTGTGATCTTGATAGAGATTGTGTTCCCAGGCTGTTTTTTCCCCCTTGTCCCTTAGAAATCCACCTTAACAGCTGGTAAATCTGTTGATTTCCCCCCCTTCTATATTCTTCCAAGCAAACATTGAACATGTGCCTTAAAATAACGGCTTACCTGAAAGCCTGAAATTCACCTTTGAAAAAATTAGGATAAAAATAGGAATGTCTAGAT